AGATCGGTGGGGGGGGGACCCCAGGACTGGGAGCACTGGGAGGGGCTGGACTGGAGACCCTGGGACTGGGAGAACTGGGGGCACTGGGAGAAGTAGGAGAACTGGGGTAGCATGGACTGGGAGAACTAGGGACATTGGGAAGGGCTGGACTAGAGACCCCAGGACTGGGAGCACTGGGAAGGGCTGGCCTGGGAGAAGTGGAGGCACTGGGAGGGGCTGGACTGGGAGAACTGGGGGCACTGGGAGAAGTAGGAGAACTGGGGTAGCATGGACTGGGAGCACTGGGCGGGCGGGGCCGTCACTCACCCGTGGCCAGGGCGCAGCCCAGCAGCCGCTGCCAGCTCATGTGCGCCGCCGGGGCGGGGAGCCGGGATCCCCGGGGAAGCCCCGCCCCGCGCGGCGTCATCCGGCCGCGACACCCACCTCCTGGTTACGTCATCACCCCGCGACTGCCGCGGAGACGCCGCGCGTGCCGGGCGGCGCGGAGTGATGACGCGACGGCCTAGCGCGCCGCCCGCCTCGAGTGCGGTTCAAGCTCCCCGGGCCCAACCACTGTGCGCGTGGTAGGTGTGGGGGGGGCGCTCGGGCCGGACCATTATGGGCGGAGCAGAGGGGTGAGGGTGTGGGACGGGGCGGCCCCTGCAGGGGTCAGGCCGGGCTGGGGCAGGAGTAGCAGCAGCTCGGACTGTACCATTATGGAGTGTGGGGGGGGGAGCTTCAAGGGCAGAGTGGGGGGGACAGGAACAGTTCGGACGAGACCATTCTGGAGTGTGCGGGGGGGGTACAGCTTCAAGGGTCATACTGTCAGAGGAGGGGGAGCAGGGCTGGACCATTATGGTGTTAGAGGGGAGCAGCCTCGAGGGCTGAACCATTAGGGGAGGAGGGAGGGGCAACTTTGAGGGCCAGACCATCATGGAGGAAGAGGAGTCAGGAACAAACCATTATGGAATTGGGAGGGGGTAGCTTCTAGGGCCAGACCATCATGGAGGAGGGGAGTCAGAAACAAACCATTGGGAGGGGGCAGCTTCAAGGGCCAGACCATCATGAGGGGGGCAGGAAGCAGTAGGAATACACCATTATGGAGCTGGGGGGGAGGGGTAGCTTCAAGGGTCACACCATCATGGAGGAGGGGGGAGGAACAGTTTAGACCAGACCATTATGGAATGGGGCAGCTTAAAGGGCCAGACCATTATGGAGGAAGGGAAGGAAGCAGCCGGGCGGAGGGGGGGGAGCTTCCAGGGCTAGACCATTAGTAATCATGGAGGGGGGCAGTGGTGAGGGCGGGACTGTAAGGGGGTGGTCCCTTGTGCAGCTGGGCCTGCCCCTGCCCCTGCCCCTGCCCCTGGCTCTGTGGGGTGTGACACAGGGCAGTTCAGGGCACTTGGGGCTGCGGGAAGTCTCTGCCGTGGCTCCCCTTGCCTGCTGCAGCAAGGCCCCGGGGGCTTGGCACAGGCAGGCAGGAACCCCATGGCTTAGGGCTTCCCGAATGAGGCCGGCAAAAACCCACCACGGTCCTACGGCCTTGTGTGCAGGAGCACCCCTGAGCCTGTCCTACAGATGTGATGTGGCAGGTTTGGGGCAAGGTCTCTGCCGGCTGCGGAGGCGTTTGCCTCTCGCATCCTGGGGCTGGCGCTGTGTAAATCCGAACGGCTGGAAGATGACCGCGTGCCAGACACGGGACATGTGCAACTGTGGTCTCGCACTGTAAAGGGGTTTGGAACATGACCCGGGATCATCTCGCGCCCCACAGCTGTGATGAGATGCTGATCGTGGGCTCAGACCCACAGCGGTTTTCTCCTGACGGAGGACAGGAGGCTTCAGGCAGCTGCCTGCATTTCCCTGCTGTCCAGAGCTTTGTACCCATCCTTGGCCTATGAGAGGAGATGGGAGCTACTCTCAAGGAAGGAGAGCAGGGTTTTAGCTGGGCTTTGCTGCTGCTGCTGCTTGTATTATGGCAGCAGAGCACCCGGCGTAACTCTTTCTGCAGGAGTTCACTCCTGCCAGTCGCACCAGATAGTCTTGTCTCCGTCATAGAGTCCGGTGTGATCATCTTTCATCAGCCAGAAAACTGCTGTCCTCTGGCAAGCAGTGGCCCCTAGGTATGAGCCACCTTCCAGATCCGTTTGGGAAGCTTATGCTCCCGAAGCTTAGTAATAAAACCTGATGAAGACTTGGAAAAACTTGCTGGTTGCCAATGAGAAGTGTTGCCACACAACGGCCACTAGAAATAGCGCCTGCTAGTAGCCACGTGCCAGTGCCCTGGTTCTGCATTGCTCTGAGGGGCTGTTGCTGTTACGTGGAGGGTCCTCTGAGCACGCAGTACTGTCCAGGGTATGTTTCCAGGGGAAATGTTGCTGCTGAGAGGTGCTGCTCACATCAGGTGTCACTGCCAGTATGCTGGATGCTTGCTTGCACTGTCCTGTCTGCCCCCTCTTGCACCCTGGGTCTCTGTTTTAGTTGATTTTTACCCCATTGCTAGCTGAAAAATCAGGGAAGGCAAAGCACAAATTGGCCTGCCCTGAGATGAACGCTCCTGCTTCTGCCATTCTGCAGGGAGAGAGGTGAGTCTGACCACTCAGAGCAATCCCTTTCTCCAGTTTGTCATCTTGCAGTGCTTTCTAGAAGGCTAAAGGAAAAGATCACTCAGAGACGCACCGGGGGGTGTGTGGGTTTTGTTTCGTCCTTTTTTAAGTTTTAAGTGATCCAAGTGAAGACTTAAGGAAATACCACTTGGCTTAAGCCATCTCCTTTTGGTCTCTTTGGTCATCAGGTTATTGTCAACAAGGAGAGCGCGTCCCAAGAGGCAGCGTAGAAATCCCATCGCTGCCCTGAGGAACTTCATGGAGTAGAGTCGAAGCGAAATCTGACTGGGTTTTGCAGGCATGTGCCTCATCCATTTGGGCCCCTTCTCTTCTTCAGTCATTGCCAGGACCAGCATGGCAGCAGTAAGCAGGAGCCTGAGGTAAGCTTTGCACTCGCATCTGGCAGGTTGGCTGATTTGGGGACTCATCTTGCATGATCTCTGAACAGAGATGCTGGCCCCCAGCTGCTTGCAGAAGGCATTTGGCACTTCGGAAGATCAAGCCACAAATTGTGCTTGTGTTTATTGTTAGGACAGGGTCCCCTCTCTCAACCCTCGGTCCGTAGGAGCATTCACTTGAGTTGCACATTGAAACCAAGTCTCTTGTATTAGGAGATAACCTGATTGTCAAGGTGGTTAAGGAAAAAATCCCCCTCAGGACCAGGTTTGTGGTGGAAGTGCCATTCCTTGGGACTTCGGGTTTTCTCCCTCTCTAGCGTATGACAGATTATTCTTACGTGGTGCTTGGGGGCAGGCCCGTGAGCTCTTTCTCCTGAAGGA